CAAGCCAATTGTGTCATATCACTTAAATTTGTTGCTTTTTAAACCATTTTCAGTCTGCAACCTTTTCTGGGGATTTCTGGTGAGGAAATGAGACCAAGCATGAAAGCATGAAAGAGACTGAGAAACTTTTTTTTTTTTGTAATGACCAAAATCAAAGAGCTGCTTGATGAGACTGAGGGAAAACACTCAATTATATAAATATAAACATCAATGCTTTGAGATAAAAACTGCAAGAAAGTCAAAAAAGGCAGAAAGAGTGAAGAAGGAAAAACCTACTGAGCATCCTGCAGATTCCCATCACGGTCTGGAAGACAGGGTTGGAGAAGCAGGCCCTCAGCATCACAGTTTTACCGTTGGGCAGACCCAGTTTAAGTGGCTTATGTTGCGGCATGAACAGCAGACGGGCGTCAGCGTGAATCCCGTATTTCTCCAGAGTCCAGGCTGTCCGCAGGAGCCACCGCTGCTTCTGCTCCCACCACAGCGCATGATCTGACCAGTCACGCTGCATCTCTGCACCAGACAAGAATGAAATACCTGCATTACTAACAGACACTTATGCTTGGCTACTTTAATCACACAATACTTTGGCACTGAATACCCTCAGGCAGACTTCATGTCAAGAAATATTAGTGCTCTCTTCATACTTGGTATTTATTTCCCAGAGAAAGTATTCCTGGCCCTCTGTGTTATTGTATTTATCTGTTTCTTTCCTTTCTCTTGACTGCCAGCTGTTGCAGCAGATGGACTGGGCCTCGTTCTGCTGAATGTTTCCTTGTGTTGAAGAAACAGAGGTTCCTCTCCCCCTGTGGCAACACATGCTTGCCCGGGAGGAGGGATTGCTGCAAAAGTCAACTACTCTATGCAATCAGACAGGCGTCCTTGGAGAGATAACGTTTCACTAATTTACATTAAACCATCAGCTGAATGTGTCTGTACTGTACTACAAATTGTATGGAATTTAATTATAAAACTGGATCTGTCGATGAACATATGACATGATTTCATTCTTGCTGGGAGCTTTCAAAAAGCATTCTGACCTCCCTGATTTATTTTATTTTTTTATTTATTGTTTTTTGTTTTTTTTTGATCGACCAATAGAAAGATGTCAGAATTAATACCAAAACAACAACTTGGTATTTATCCTTTGCACTAAACAATAAAGTTTTATTTTCAATAATCACACAAAATAACATTTATTAAAATCTAGCACAATGTAGAGTTAAAAAAAAAAAGAATACATATGCAAGCCCATGAAATGACTAAGTTTCTACTGTGGGCCCCACGTGATTGAGAGAGATGGTTGAAAACATCTTGACTCACGTGTCTTTTCCACCAGCTTAAGGATAACCCCTCCAACATGGAGGTCAGAGGCAACGCTGATAGTGACAGGAGGGGCATCAGGCCCCAGGTCCTCCACTTTAACTGACAGGTCCCACGCCGCCATACTCTGAGGGAGACAAGAGCAGAGTGTGTGAAGGATAGGCTGAAGATAGGACTGTTCTCAGGAGAAACACGAACATTGACTGAAACACAAAGTGTGACATCTCCAACAGGATGAAAACATGATGAACACAAATCTTATGTGAGACCTCATTACACACACGATCACTTCTCTGAGAGTAAAATGTTCCCTACTTAATTTTTGTTTATATAGAAACAATAAAAAGGACTTTACAAGTGTTGCTTAGTGGAAGATAGCCCTTCTTCATGGTCAATGCCACCTGATACTGAGTAACATGGAGACACAAACATACACTGTGAGTGACATATCAAGTTTAAATAGTATTTCCTGTTTCAGTCTTAAACTATCACCATGGATGCATACTTCCGCTTTTCAAATGCTTGCAGGAGGGGAATTTAGAAACCCAACATGGGCTGGGTTGTTCATTCGATGGTGACACACTCACCTCCTGCATGTAAATAAAAGCCCATATAAAATTAGATGGTACTTCTGGGTTTAAGATAGGTTTATCTTTCAAAATCATAACCTTTTTTTGTTACAAGACAACTGCAGATGATGGCGGCACTGCGTACGGATAACATGCTTCAAACTGTCCACTTTTACTCGAAGGCCTTGACATCTTCGACATTTTTACATTTAAATAATGAATTATAATTTGTGTCCAATTTATACAGTCAAAAAGAACTTCTTAAGTTACCCGTATATTTTTATATTTCATAAAAAAAGCTCAAAATATTGAAAACCCAGTGCTATTTTCTCTGTTCTCATGCATTTCCCCCTCACACACACACAGAGACATCTTGTAGAAGACAGTACCTTCAGTCTCCTCCGTCCACGATCTTCAGAACTGGACCTGCTGGGTTCCTCTTGTCTCTGTCAGACAGCTGAAGAAGTTTCCCTGGCCTACTGTGAGAATTTGCAGCAGTCTTGCCTCTCTTGGGTAGGGCACTATGTGGTGTGTGGTGAAGCCTCTGTCTTTGCTGCTTGTGTCACCCGTGTAAAAAAAAAGAGAAAAGAAAATCTTGTTCCTTTTTTTCTTTGTCAGTTTCCGCCAGGCGGAAATGTGAACACCAGTTAACTGCTGATTGACGGCCTGTGTCAAATTATACATATTAGGCAACATTGTTGTGTCGTTCACATTTAAATCGCTTGTGTGGGTTATCATGTCAGATGTTAGTAATTTAGAGTGTGTGATATCACTCACTCACTTCAAAAGTCAAGTTTCTTTGGTTTGGCTAAAAAAAAAAACCCAAAAAAACAACAACAACAAAAACAATGTTAATTTAGGTGTTTGATAAAATTAATAAAACATTTCACATAAAACAATGCTTTATTAAGTGCAACCAAAAACAAATGAAATATCGTCGCAGTTTATCATGTACATACATTTAAATGTGCATTTTTTTAAAACATATGTAAAAGATTTTTTAAACATATGTAAAAAACATATGGGCATTTTGGACATTTGGAAAATTTCCAAAATGCCCAAAAAGAAGGTAGAAGTAGCAATATGAAAAGTTTAAAATTCCAGTCATATACATAGACACCTACCTTGAATTACTGCGTACTGAATTTTGGGACCTGGATTAAAAGTGATAACTTCTGATCTCCCAAGAATCCGAGTGGACGCCCAGCCTTATGACTGAAACTTTTGTGGATCCGATTGAAATCTTGTCAGTGTTCGGCCCAAGTGTATATAGTAGGCTGCAGTGATGGAAAATAACCCCTCCCTAGCAGATTATGGGTTAGTTTAAATGGGGATTTTTCTACACCAGTGACGGTAAAGACATATTAAATTCTGGTTCTCTTCATTCATCCATCCTGGTTGCATTCCTGGGAATGATGTGACCATTTTTATTTCTTTTTAGGGATGTTCTCACAATCTCTTATTATTTTGTTCTTGGTTATGTATTCATGTTTTTTTTTTCTGTCCTACAAATTGCTTGTTTTTATAGACCTGTTTCACAAATATTTGATGTATTTCAAATATTTACAACCTGGTACAAACAAAATATGGAATAATTTGTTTGTACCAGGTTGTAAATATTTATTTTAAAGCAGATCAAAGAGAATCCCAGTGCTGTAACGGCTGTTGATTAATGGACATGCTCATTATGCGCTAAATAGAGCATGGTAGTAATATTATGTGAGATATTGAAGCTATGTCATAGCGATGCAATATTAATGTATATTAAATCCTATCTTTTCAGGTGTGCAGTGACCTGCGTAAACACACACATTGTGACTCCGCTGCATTTGATAACAAACTGACATACAACGTATTAATGGACAGTGTTAAGAATTAAAAAGAGGAATAACTTGATTTAGCTCTTTAATTAATTCTTTGTCCCGAATTCCTGTGTCTGTGTAAGTGTGCAGAGAGAAAAGAGCAATCATACGACGTCAGACTTCAGATATTCAGAGTTTTATCCAGAGAAAATCAATGCAGAAGAATGTTACAATAATCATCTCACCTAGATTATCAAAAGTCCAAGACATTACAAAACAGAGACAAAGAACTGAGTAAAAATAGACAAAAGAATAACAGAAGACGCATCCTCCGGGAAACTCTCACTCAGCACAAAGAGATTCCAACTTCTGTTGTGAAACAAACCATTTTTTATAGACTGCATATTCTCCTCATTTAAATATATGCATTAGGAGGTGTGTTCTTTTCCTTTGTGTGGGCTGTCTTAATGTTAATATTATTACCTCTGAGACCCAACCTCTGTACCAGGCTCCGACCTGATTTACAACGTGGAACTGGAACGTTATCTCTGCCTCAAGATGCTTCAACAAGAAAGTAGTTTGTATTTTTAACCAAGCTTGCACAAAATGTAATGCTAAATAAGGACTATAAGTTTGGATCTAAACTAACTAATTAAAAACATACTTTTTAATGCTTAAAGAAATATACCAATATGTTTGATTATATGTTGGAACAGACTTCTATAGTTTTTAGTGTTTGCCTGAACTATTCAACCCTGAGTAAAGAATTTATTGCCCTGATAGCCAATATATCCCTGTCTGAAATGTTCCTTAAGGAGTATAAGACTGCTTTCTGATTAGAAATTTATGTAAGTTCAAAGAGTCACCAGCTGTGCCAGTTTGGATTTGTATCTAAGTTTATCTTAACCTAAAAGTTAACTTATGTACTATTGTGCTACTTTAAAATTCTTATTTCAACAACAGTCAAAACCATATACATGTCTATGGATCAGACATATCAGAATCCGTTTAAAACATTTAAACGGCCATTGTTTCGCCTCAATGTGTAATTTCCGACAGCCGTAAAGCTCACACTGAATTGTGACCGTTAGCTTCGACTCTTCCATTTTTACTCGATTATGGGAAATACAGGTAATAAAACACTTCGCTGTTAATATTATATTTATTTTAAATACCACCATTTTCTTCAATTATGAATACCACAATCCAAAATAAACAGCAGTAATTGATATTTATTGATTTCAATCAGTTAGTGGTGACCATGGAACACCCCTGGTTGGTGGTACGTTCCACACGTTAACTTCCGAAACAAAAATGGCACATGAGATTTTGCAGTGAGGGGTGTGTTTGAATAGAAAGTGAAAGCTAACAGCAGTGTGGCCGACAGTTCAACTTTGAAACCCCACTCTTCGCTGTCTGCTTGGTGTTACCTAAACATGGCACTGCTAACGTCAGCTCGAGTTTCACACATCAGAGCCCTGCCCTGCAGCGCTCTGTCCCGTTTCCGAGCCGACTTCCAGACATCAGGTGTCAAGTTCAGGCACTTGTTACCTCCGGGTAGCCCCCAGCTCAGAGGGACGGGAGTAACGAGTCCCGTACGAAGACATATTAACGCCGCAGTCCGAGGTGACAGATTCTCCACCACTGCAGCGGCGCTTCGCAAATCCAGCCAGACTAACGGTTCCTCTTCACCAAGGGGAAGGAGAGGCTGGCTGGGAACGTTTGCCCTGGGTGCTGCCCTCGGAGTGGGCACAGGCGCTCTAGTACAGGCCCTCCACACTGGAGTTTTAACCGCCATGCCTCTAAAAATTAACCTGGACTCTGCTGAGAGTAACTGGAAGGAAGCCAAGGGTGAGAATGTCCAGCCGTGGCAGGGAATAATTTTACAGAGTTTTCAGACAAAAACACCTACTGTCAACTGGCACAAAAAGTTAAAAAATTATTGATAAATACGAATGTTTAAGCGTCTTTTTAAGCAAGATCCTCTGTTTTTATATTTTAGTATGTGGAGGCTTCCTAAAGTAACTACTGCTTAAGCTACTTTCAGTTTATCTTACATGAAGCTTTACTTTGGTCTGAATGTTTTTTTTTTCAGTTTCTGAAACACATTAGAAAAGTATTCACAACACCTAAATCTTTCCCATGTTTTGCACTCAGTACAACTACAAACATAAAATGTATTTTTTGTGGATCTTATTTATTGACCAACATAACAAAGTATAATTAAGCATATTGTTCTGAAATGTTTTGCATGTATTTCCATTCAGACCCTAAATATAATCAATTTGATTACGTTTAAAAATGAGTAGCACCCTACAAAACATCTATCACAATTTATGCAAGTAATTTTAAAGTTGAATCAATCCAATCATGAACAGTAGTCAGATTTGAAGCTAACTGCACACCTTTCATTTTAATCTGAGCTCTAAATCAGCACTGAAAATATCTTTGTAACAGATAAACTCTGTGAAATTTGTAGAGTGCGCAGGATGGAAAAAGGTACACTAAAAATGATTTTGTCTCACAGAGACACTCTGTCAAGTGCAGCATCTGCAGGAAGAGACCAAGAAGTTGTTGGAATCAACAGATTCCAATCAAGAATGGGGAGATTAAGAAATAGAGTAGATATGAAATTAATGGGAACAAGAACAGTAGATTATGCAAAGTTGGAAAATAGAGTATTTTGAGGCAACAGAGTAATTAAATCCACTCCACACTTTTCAGATTGTAAGTTATAAAGCCTTTCAAAAGCTGTACATTATTTTATTCTCAGAACTATGCACTACTTTGTGTTGGTCTAGCTCAGGAGTAGGCAACTCCAGGCCTCGAGAGCCAGTCTCCTGCAACTTTTCGATGTGTTTCTACTTCAACACACCTGAGTCAAATTCATTAGCAGAACTCTGGAGAACTTGACTGCATTTAGGAGGTGATTCAGCTATTTGAATCAGCCTTGTTGGACCAGGGAGACATCTAAAAGTTGCAGGAGCCCGGCTCTCGAGGCCTGGAGTTGCCTACCCCTGGTCTAGCTCCTAAAATCTCAGTAAAACACATTGAATCTAATAATAATGTAAAATAATATGGAACGGTTAAGGAGGTCAGGAAGATTTCTCGTTAGATTATAACCTTTTTCTCTTTCTTTCCCCTAGATTTCCTACTGTCTCTGTCCGTGAAGGACAGGCGTGGCTACTACAGAACCTCTGGCTCGGTGTTGCTGGATGACATCCCAGTGTGGACACCCACAGCAGGTCAGACATCCCACATCTGTCAACATCTGCATTACTCGGAATGGTGAAGCAGTGGTAGTGATGAAATTTTTTTTCCACAAATTAGAAGCAACTTTTATTACCAATATAAAATTACAAAATACCGTGCAACCTCTTTTAAAAAGCAAAAGCATGTATAAACAAACAAATATTTAAGTTGATTAAGATGCTTATTCCTAAAAAAAAATTATGCTTAGGAGGGGGTCAAAACATCTTAAGATGGGCATGTGATTTAATGCTGATCAGAGATGGGAAGACAAAAATTGTACTGCAGCACACTTTTAATTGTGTAACAGTAAAATGTAGAAATAAAAAATAAAAATGAATTTGGTAAAAAGGGTTCTCAAGCTTTAACCAATCATAAACAAAAATTTAAAATGATGTGCCAATTATTGTATTTACGGTAATGAAAAAATAAAAAAAATAGTAAAACATAAATTACATTATTACAAAATATCAAAATCTGGCAAAGGAAACACACCAAATCCATCTTTTCCAGAACCGTTTTTATTTATTTATTTTGAACATGATAGAAGTGTAAAGTGACACACGAACAAGGAATGTAAAAGATAAATTTTTGCACCACAGTAATCTTTGCATGCTTGAAATCTTACAGATATTTATATGCATCAGCATTGCAAAGCACTTCCAGTGACAGCGTATATTGTTTATTCACATGACCTCAATATGACACATCATGACCAGAACATAGAAAATAACGAGAGCTTTTGTAGAAACAAGAAGACTCAGGTCAATATGAACTGTCAAAATGTGTCTGGTACATTTTGGTTAAAACGTGAATATTCTTCATTTAGTGAAGCAACTTGAGGTGAGTAGAGTAACCAGAAATTATATTCGGGTAAAAGTAATTTTACTTCAAAATATCACTCAAGTAGAAGTAAAAAGTAGAGAGAGTAAATTGACTCCTACAATCCTTGAAGTTACTCAAGTAAAATGTAACTGGAATAAATATAATTAGTTACTTTACAGCATGGAAGGCCTTGTGATTTCACACTCTTCTTATTTTAGCCACTGTTGCCCTGCAATAGTGGCCATTTCTTCGGCACTATCTGTCTGTTTTTCTTAGCCACCCTGTGGCTAAAATAAGAATGTAAAAAGAAGACATTTTGAACATGACAGATTAAATGTCTCATTTTAAGCCATGCTGATTCCTTCCTCTACTTGTTTCAGAACAGATTTGTCTTCCGTCTCTGGTGATAAGTTGTCCTAATCGGTCCTTCAGTTTCTCTCACGGCGACTGAACAGCCTAGGGCTTTGTGACAGAGCCAATCTTAAATGTGGCTGTATAAACCTCATATTTAAATAAGTGATAAATCTGTAAATTGCATGACAAAAATTGAAGCTACCACTGGAGGGAGCTCACATGCTTCCAGTATCTCAGTTACCTGTCTGCTGATCCCTGTTCTTTATAGAGATTTCTGTTGCAAACCAAGCTGAACCTGGCTGTTTGCTCCCGTCCTCAGGTGCCTCTAAGCCGAGTCGCTACATGAGGAATGAAACGTTAGACCAGAAGATTTCCGTGTACAGTGGTGACATAACCAAGCTGGAGATAGATGCCATTGTCAATGCAGGTATGGGTGTTGTTCTGTTTTGTTTTAGACAGGTCTGTGCACAATTTCAGCCACTCTACATGAAAAATTATAATTTTCTTGCATCATAAAATAAAATAAAATCCCTTTTTTTTTCCTCTTTTCACTGTCGTTTCCCAAAAAGTACAGGAATTAACACTTTGAAAAACACAAAAGGGAGAAATATAAAAGGCATTATGAATTTAAAAGGTTCCAGCAGTATTTAGCCTGGCTGTGCGTTTATGGGCGTATGCATAAATTTTGCAAGAAACATCTGTGAGCGGCGTCTGAGCTGTAATTATGTGCATAATGTATTTTCAGCGTGTTGGTAGAACAGCCAGAGGCTTTCAAGTGATTATCTGCATAGTGTTCAAGATATTCTTTCAGTTAATTTGAGTAACCTACTGAAGAAAGTGAGAGCAACAGAACTGCTGTGTAGGGCTGGTTAAAAATACCAAAGAATTTCAATATAAATATGACAAGGGACTGTTTAGCTTGGAATGAATAGTAGAAGCTGAAATTTCACACCAGTGAAAAAGATATAGATAGATGGATATTTTATTTAACCCGGGGGAAATTTATGTATCCAATAGCTCATAAAAACATAAGCAAAAACTAATTTCAGTAAAGAATATATGACCAATAAGATGAACCATTTCTGCTTCCACTGAACAGATCAGATTTTGATGAGAAGTGGAAATCTCTTATATCTGCATCTTTTGAATGTTCAATAAAAAGTACTGTAAATTTTATCTTTTCCAATAGCTTAAAAGTTTTGAAGAAGTAGATTGAGAAACGGAAGCTCATGGAGGGTTTTCATGAATTCTCAAAGGGAAAGATGTTTGAAGAGACTGATTTGGAAAAAAAATATGAAGAGACACATTGATTCGACTTGAACAAACCTTGAAATCCTAAGGTAGAAAGAGATGTGCACCTTCTTTTCCCAAATTGTCACAGGTTCCTCATTCTTGAGCAAATCCTTCCTTTGGTCAACATTACACTTCTAAAGCCTGCATCAGAGGACAAGCTTTTAAGTAAAGTTCTTCAGAGCCAGTTTTTAGAGGACGAATGAGACGTGCAAATAAACAAGGACGTAACAGTGATGATAGTAATTAGTTGGAAGAAAAGCATTCTGTGTGCATAGCAAAGAGATCATCTAGTTTTGTGTGTGTTAAAAACAGCCGAGGAAAAAGCAATCTGTTAAAAACAGCAGATGGACAAAAGATGACCTACAGATGAGGGGAAGAATGCAGATCTACAGATAAATTAAAAGCTTTGCCTTTCGTCTTAGTTTTTTCTTCATCACAACAAAGCAATACAGTGGTCGCATCATGCTGTGATCAGTGGCAAAGAGCAGCCTCAGTGGATCCAGTTACATACAAACCAATTCAATACAATAGTACGATGTCGTCATATCATTTGCTGCCAGTTGGTGAAAAGTTTGCAGAGCTGATTGTATGAAGTTGATCTCTTGTCGCTTTTGTCGCAACCTGCTTGGGGTTGATGGGAAAAGAAGTTAATGCTGGTGGCTCAAACTTGCTGACAGCAAAATTCTTTTCTTCCTTAGGTTTCTAAATTTACAGTTAGGAAAAAGGTTTTCACTATTGCCAATTCAAGTAGAAAACCTATAGACGCTTTGGGTTGACTTTGCCTTACTATGTCAGACTATTTAGGTCTGAGTTGGCTTGTTAAAAGCAGTTTGGCTTGTTTGGAAGAGATGCTTGGACTTTCCTCTCTTTTAAAATTATGTAAACAAACAATTTAAGTTTGCAAGTTACCTCTGAATGAACTGCAAAACATCTGGAACTATGTCGCTTGGACAGATGACACTGAAATATTAACTTTGGCTGGAAGGCACAGCACGAACAGTGCTGGGTTGATGGTGTTTTTTTTTAGCTTGATTCATAGGATCAGAGATCAAATGTGAGGCCATCTGTTAAGCTTGGACCAAACATGGTGATGAAAAAGTACAATGATCCCAAACACAGCAGTGAATCTGTGATAAAATAACTGAATATAAAAAAAGATTATCTGTTTCAGAGGTTCAGATGAAGTCCAGGTTCCAGTCTGATCGAAATGCTGTACTTCAGGGTAAATATGCAGAAACTAATGTCTGTAAGCCTCAATGAATTAAAGAAATGTTGTAAAGTACATTAGATCTAAAGTCCTTCACAATGACTGGAGTTTATTAAATTGAGGCAGAAAATTGGTAATTCATAGAGTGTGCTTAGTTTCCTCCATGAAGGTCTTGTCTTTGAAAATCAATGGAAAGGCCAGTACTGATTTATGTATGCTTTATAGTTGCAAGGATTTTAGGTCAAATATTATCATCTAAAATATAATAATGTTTGACCTTTAAGCTGCTAATGAAGAGAACAAAACTGACATTATCTGTTTTCATTTATCTATAATCCACAGTCATTATGTATGACTGGCCTTTGCTTTAGTTTTTGAAGATCGCTGTTTTTACCTCCTGGCTTCATTCCTTATCCCATTTTATAAAACTTCCTTCCTTGCTTCCTTGTTTCCTTCCTTCTTTGCTTTCTTCCTTCCTTTCTTGTTTTCTTCCTTCCTTGATTCCGTCCTTCCTTCCTTTCACATCTGTTAAATGTGGAATTTAACAGATTCCACATTTAAAATCTGTTTTCTGTACAAGTACACTGTGATATCTTAGTAAACTAAAGTATTTAATATTTTAAAAAGGCTGGAAATTACAGATGGACATACTGTGCAGGAACCTTGGATTCAACCTAAGAAACAAACTGAATCTAAAATTTGAGGATATGAGAAGCTTCAGGGCATAGGAACAATAAAACAGTTGTAAATGTCTGAATTGTTTTACTGCAGCTTTCTGGTAAAAAAAAAAAATTGTCCTGATTGAGGAATATTTGTCTCATTAAACAGGATGTGACTTTAAATATGCAATGTCATTGAAATCCTCATGCGTCGGTGTTGCAATCGTTCATTTAAGCTGCAATATTTATTAGCTTTGGTTTAAGGAGGCCTGAAAGTGCGATTAAATCCATACTGATGACCATTAGATGGAGCCAAACACTGGTTTATTATTCCAGGAGCGTCTTCTCTGAGGCACTTTTAGTATTTGGGGGAAATTTAATCTGTGTTTTGGCACAGGCGTTGTATCAGGGGAGAGAAGGGCAAACCAGCCTAAACAATGCCTGATGATGAGCCTTCAGCTTCAAATGATAGATTTTTATTGGCAGCTGACTGTCAGCAGGCGGATGCTGTGCCAGCATCTAATAAACATGTTGATCGTTGACTCCCGTTCATGGAGTTATTGGTTTTTTGTTTGTGTGTTCTTGTGACTCTGCCTACAAATATTTAGGTAATTATGAATGTTTACACAAAAACTAACAGTCTGTGTGTCTCTGGGGAGGCGGGTTTGTATTGGGTTGTCCTTTTTTACAGGGTTTTTAACAGAGTCGCAGGATGCAGAGTTGCATGGAATTAACAAGACGAAACGGCTAGTAAAGCGCTGTTTTGCAGAGAGGACGAAACAAGGTGAGAGTAGGAAGGCGCAAAAAACTCCACAACACCGGAGGAGTGATGATTGAGAGCCGAAGCGTGAGAGTCGGCACTCTCTCCGGCTGAGAAAACCCAGAGAGGAGTCGGGGATGGAGGAAAGAAGAAAATAAGAGAGACGGGGAGAGGTCACAAGCTTGTATTTAAATCTCGCTCTGCATTGCCATGGCAACAAGCAGGTACAGGTTAGCCTGAAAAGGGCTTTGGGCAGGAGAGTCTGAACATCCTTTTCTATCTGACTGACTGGGTGTCCAGCTGACTTTGTATGTGGCTGTTTTGTTGGCTACGAGGGCGACCTTTTTCCACAGTGACTAACTGATTGACTAAGACGCTTTGGGTGACAGTCGCACTTTGAATTGAGATGACATTGAATTGAGAGATGGCATCGCATAGAGATGGAGTTAGTTTTTTTTTTTGTGCAAATCTTAACAGCAAAACTCTTGCTTAAACAGCCTCCAAGACGGTGCCTTTGGTTTTTGACATGTGGAGGGGAGTGTTGTGGATTTTCTTTGGCTCCTCAGAAAGGCCTTGAAGCATCATTTAGCCCCTAAGGCAGCAAGCATTCAGTTGAAGCCAACTGAGGCCAATTATATGTAATACTGACAGACTGGTGGGAAGGTTGGGAAAAGGAGGCTTCCTGGGCCTGCTGGTAGAGAGAAGTTGACACTCAGATACAGAGACGAGCGCACACGGTAATAAATACATGAGTGCAATCTGATTCGGACCAAAGGAGCACCAAAAATCAAGAAAGTAACAAAGGAAGCATAACACAGGCTGTTTTTTATAGTTTAAAAAACTGTAGAATTTTGATACCACAACCATTTTTTTATACAAGTGTTTGGTTTAAACACTTGGAACACTTGTTAAGGATAAAATCTTCTCTGCCACTACCAAGAGACTATGCTGGGATTTGCTCCAGTTGTATGAGGGGGACAGACTCCCCCTCTTCCACCTGTTGCTGGACGCTGTCGGTCAGCTGTGCTTTATAGTTAAAAGGCATATAAAGTTGGCTGCTGGGGATGGGTTTCTTCTTCTTTGTTTGATCACAATGTATGTAAATGCTGGGAAAACGCTCTGTGTTACAGCATCTATCTGTAAAATGAACCACCGGCTGCAGGCTAAGCATCAGCTTTCAGGCTCCCATTTGCAGAAAAGGGCAGACATTTTTCCCTATAGAGATATGAAAGCATTACTACTAAACTGAACCACTGGTTATTCCATATCTTGTTTAGGTCTTCTACTACTTATGTTTGTGTTTGCGATCTGATTTCAAACAACTTGATAGTGCCATATTTTCCAGACTATAAGTCACTCTGGAGTACAAGTTGCACCAGCCATAAAATGCATAATAAAGAAGAAAAATGTATATATAAGTCGCAATGGAGTATAAGTCGCATTTCTGAGGGAAATTTATTTTATAAAATCCAACACCAAGAACAGACATATCATCTTGAAAAGCAATA